GGGGGGGGGGGGGGGGGGGGCTGTCGCCGGCATTCCCACTGCCACACTACATTGGCCAAACTTTTAAGCGTCCCTAGAAACAAACTCCCATGCGACCCCAAGCGACAACACGTAAGGGGTTAAAGGCTTCAGCGTCCTAACCACAAACAAACGCCCACCGAGATTCAAACAAGGACTGTCGGGGTTTTGCCGCTGTCGGGATGTTGCCAGCCCCAGCGTCAAACTTTTTTGCGTCCCGAACCACAACCAAACTCCCACCGAGATCGAGAACATATGGACGCTGTCGCGGTGCCTCCGGCCCAAACGCAACAGAAAAGCAAATTTTTCAATGTCCAAACGACTAACAAACTCCCACCGGGATCGAAAACAAGCGGGCTCTGTCGGGATGTTATCGGCCCTCCCTGCAACACGAAAGGGCTCAGACTTTTCGCCCCAAACAGAAACTCGATGTTCATTGTTCCAAACGCATGGAGACCCCTGGCACAGCAACTTGAAATCTTTAACTTTACCTGCGCTTCATTGGAGCTGTTGACGGATTACGCTGGTCTTTGAAAGGACTTGGCCCTCACAAGGCTACCGGAGCAGGATGTAGCAGAACAGAATTTGGCCGAGGCCTCATGTGAGGATGTCACATATCACCAGCGTAAACTCCAAACCTTGACTACCGACGGCTCTATAAAGTTGGGCCCAGGGTTCAGAGATGGTTGAAGGCTTCAGCCCCATCAGGGCCGCTTTGCAGTCCGCGGCGCCCCGTCCATGAACTGCCACACACACTGCTGCAGCCGATGGATGAAAAGGTCCCCAGAAGGAGCTGCCAGGAACCAGTTCTGAGGATGATCGATCCAGCTCACTCGAGTGTCCTTGGGCCGGGGAGTCATCTCCCAGCGCATCCCATTCCAAACCAAGGCTCGCAACGCTGCAGCTGAATGCAAGGCTGCAAGATACTGCAAGCCTAAAGTTGGAACTTTCATGTCCTTCGCCGGTTACACGGCCTTTCCACAGGAAGTCTCCGGGACAGACCGAACACGCCCTCAGACTACTGCTGCTGCGGCCTGGAGTCATTATCCTTTAGCGACTGATCCGTCCAGGGATATGGCAGCGCGAAGAAGGTGCGCACATTCGGGTTGTCGCCCAGCAGCTCTCGCAACGGATTTGTCATGAAGGTGGTCGCATCAACCCAAATGCCGCCATACTTCTTGAGAATCGCTAGACCTTATCCGCACGAAAGAGATCTGCAGCTCCAGAACCCCACAGCTCCCAAGAAACCTCCCTTCCCCGTTCAAGGTTCCAAAAAGAGGCCACCCTCTGAAGCGCATGCTACACGAAAACTCTGACGCTGACGTGCTCGACCCCCCGGAGATGCGAGCGAAGCCACGAATTGCATCGGAGCGGTGCTGGATGCTCAGAAATCGGAAGGTCCTCGGCAGCTCCTGCTCCGTGAGATACCTGAGCTGAGCGGGTGCTCCGAGCATCCCTGCTTTGCCCAATGGACCATGGGCCAAGGCGGGCTGTGAAGAAGAGCCCCTTCAGGCACATGAATATGAAGCGAGGTCTAACACCCTCACCTCTAGCCGCCTCCTATCGCGCGGAAACCTCAAACCGTGAGGGGTCGCAAGCATTGCAAGCTCCAGTTGCTCGCTCACCGAGTCGCTGTTGAGGAGCCTGGGATTTCAGAGATGCACTAGGGGTTTGGATTCGACAAGGTTCAGGGTTGGGGGTTTAAGGTGGCTTCGGCTGTGCGGAGTATCACCTGGGTCCTCTTGGGGCATATCACTACCGGCAGGTTGACATGCTCATCCCTCCGGCGGCTGCTACCTTCCAAGCTCCGGTGAGCTCCACAGATGTGGCACTTCAAAAAGCAGAAAACTCCAGGACCTAGCCCCAACGAAGTTCATCCCGAAAGCGAAACTCTCCAACAGAAAGTGGCTCAAGCTCCAGGTTGCAAGGCCCTAAGATCTTGACCCCAATCATCGCGACTCCAAAAAAAACCCGAAGCCCTGACTACACAAGAATCCGCAGGCGTTTTCAATGGCCTATCTGGGAGAGGTCCCTCTTTTTTTTGGTTCCGGGTCTCTTTCCTTCGGTCAGGGAGCCGAATCTGGTGGTGGGGGTTCAGCGCTCTCCACGATGCCAGACAGGCCTGGGGGGATGGACTTTCTTTGCCCCTTCTGGGGATTTTGGATGTTTAGGGCTTTATCTGGCCGCACTGGGCTTTTAGGCTTCCCGAATCTCTGCTCTGCAGCTATCTTTGCGCTCCGGTGAGACTGTGCGAGACAAGCGCGCTGCTTCGATGATCCAAGGCCCTTTTTGTAGACTGCTTCGGGTTTCCGGGTCAGTGCTTCGGGCTTACAGAGTCTTGCAGCTCAAATCCTTCATGCCATCTGCCGATTTGTTGCTTTCCGCCCTGGCCTCCACGAACTCCGTGAGCGCTACGGGAGCATCGGGCAAAGCTTGCCAGAAGCTCCTCGCGGCCAGACTTCATCACGCCTCTTCTTCGGCGTTTCGCACTCTTCTTTTTTCCACGGCCCCCTCTTTCCCGTTTCGGTGTGTCTTTTGTCGGCGAAGGCTTGGGGTTCAGGTTGAATTGTTTTGGCTGGTTTAGGGTTTCAGCACTCGCTCTCGAAGAAGCCTTCGGTTTCGACTCTCACACTCGCACCAGGCAGGCAAGGCTCTAAAGGCTTAGGGTTTAGGGGGTTGGTGCTTGTGGCCCCAAAGGCACTGTGAGGGATCTCCTGCGCAAGATCCTAGCGTTTAGGACGTAGGAGTGTAGGGCTCCAGGCTCAAGGTTCACGAGACTTCAATTTCCCCTTTTGGTGACATCATGATGCATCTCAGGACTGTCGGCCTGAAGAATTTGTAATCATGTCCCCGTTGCGCTCTCACAGCTCGGACAAGTCAGTTCGGTTTTTTTGTCCCCCTTTGAGTCCCTACATGCCTGTACTGTAGTGTAAAAGCCTCATTCTGATTGTGATTCAGGCCCCCGTGACGGCGAGGTCCAGATGATCTGCGGGATCGGCAGCTGCTGGCCAGCATAGGCACCCCTTGGCTCGACGAGCCATACTTCTGCTTGTGTCGAGGGCTTTCAGGGTGTCACCCGCATGGGGAGCTTGTTCCAGACAGCCTCTTCCTAACAAAATTCGGCGCCCTCTCTCTTTCAGCATCGCCTATGCAAACTGAGGCTCTTTCCTCGGATCAGCCATACATCCCTGCAGCTCCTTTTCAAAAGATACATCCTGCTGGCTCCGTCACTTGATGCCTTAAGAGGGTTTATTGGGGCTGTGTCCAGCAACAGCCGCTCACTGACAAGTGGCTGCGTTTTCCGGAGCACTGGATGACGCCAGAAACACCTGAGCATCACGCACTGACTCGCACATGAGACAGATCGGACGGATGTACCATTGGATCAGCCCGAAACCCTGGCTCTAACCCGAAATGTATGGGAGCGAAACTGCCGTCTTGATTTGCTGGGCGAAGGTTGTTGTTCTGGCCTGTGATGTTCCTAGCGACGTGCTGTTGTAAGGCGTTCGAAGGGAGGGCTTGACTGCCTGGCAAGTTGTCAACCGAAACCATGACAGCCAATATCAGAACACTGGTGGACTCCAGGCCTGTTGACATGCAAAAGGCCCCTTCTGCAGCCAAGCCTCCTGAAAAAGGCCCTGGCCCTAGTTACACCTAAAATTCCTATGGAAGCACTCTAAAACCCTATACACTACTTAACATTACTAAAGCCCCTGATTCAAGAAAATCTTCTTCCCTCTGAGCTCCTCGCCTGGTGTCGCTGCGACCCCCCCGGGCAGCGCTCGGCCGGAAGACGCCGTCGGCGATCACAAAGCAGCTCGCGCCCTCGGCCTGCGCGACGAGTGGAGAGTGAAGGCTTCTTTTTTTCTGGTGCTTTTTTTTGGCGGGCTGTTTTTTTCCCTCTCGCATAGCTAAGGATCAAAGCCCACAAGCGAGGTCAGTTGGGGAATCATCGAAGACAGGCCCATAATGTCAAAAAGACTGTTGGGGCTGAGGGTTCCGGGCTTGGTTGAGGTTTGAGGGCTTTGTCGCTCTGACAAGCCGACTTTATGTAAGTGCAACACCTAAGCCTGAACTGTTGTCAACCCTAAAGCCCAAAGCCCAGAACACAGAACATCCAGCCGCCTACAGAAAAAAACAACACGCCTCCCTCAAAAAAAAGAAAAAAACCGAAGCCCCTAACCAGGCACCTGGTAGCCCGTGCAGGACGGAAGCATCTGGCAGAGTTTGGTGCACTCCAAGCTGGAACCGTCTGCTTGGGGCGGCGAGATGTACTGCATGGAGCTGCCCCAGAAAGGTTCGCCTTTCCTTTGAGGGTCATGAGTTCAGGGTTTAGGTGGTACAGGGTTTAAGGTCTGGAAAGTTTAGGGGTTGGGGTATATTGGCCCGCATTGGGCTTATAAATGTTGGGGGGTTCTAGGAGTACGGTGAAGTTGTGCCAGAACTTTTGGGCGGCTTCCAAAGATGTTTAAAGTAGGAGGGCGTGAGACTTCTGAGCTAAAGGCTGAAGGCTGAAGGAGTGGCTTGCCAAGAGAATCTGGTGCCCCAGTGCCCGTCCCTAAATACCTATAAATTAACATAGCATGTGGGGTGAGGGGCGGCGCATATCAAGACTGTTTTTGGAGAAGCTTCTGATTGATGCAGGCTCCCCGGCCCAGAAACTGGAACTCATCTGGCACCTCCCCGGGCGGCAGGATCACGGAGAAGCTCGGCAAAGACAACTCGGCGAGAGCACATGATAACGGGTTTAGGGTTCAGGCTTCCCGGCTTAGTTTAGTAAGTTGGGGAACTCGCGCTCTGCGGAAGCTGCAAAGGCTCGGCGCCAAGATGGCCGCTACCTGTCACCGCTAGCGAATCGGCGCTTGCAACTGCCTCTTCTCGAGGTTGCTCTGTTCATCTGCTTGGCGTCTTTTGCGCATGTGCTTTCAAGATCGCCCAAGACCCGCTCAACAAGAAGACACGCGAAGCCTCACAAACCCTGGAAACTTCAAATCCCAACGACTGCAGAACACCCACAGGGCGGGGGAAAAAAGAGGCAACACCTTAAAAGTGAACCCCTCAACTCCCACAGAAAGTGGTCTTGCCAGGATGCCAAGGGCGCCCTCGCCGCCTGAGTTCTCAGCCGCGGACTTGCCACGCCGTCCGCAGACTGGGGGTTGTCCTCGGGCCTGGGATTCCCCCCGTCCTATACGGATTGCTTTCTTGTGCCCTCTCCGTGTCAGCAGGTCGGTTTTGGACGGTAGAGCGCCTGGTGTGTGCTTTGTGCCTGCTGGCTTTCAGGGAGTCCCTGGCTTTGTTCGACCTCTGTATGATGTCCAGGCCTTTTTCGGGCCTCGCCTTCGCTTCTTCTGCTTTCGATTCTTCTGTTCGGCCTCTGGATGCTGCTTTGGGTTTATGTTCAGACTGCGGGCCGTGCTTTGGAAAAGTCCTGCTGAGCCACTTGGACTCAGCTGGATGCCATGCCACAGTGAGCAGAGGGACGCGTGGCTCGCGGCAGACAAGCATACCGAACACAGAAGGTAGCATAGGCTGCATCTGGAGGTATGTGCGTAGGTTTCAGGGGAGGTGCCAGCAGGCGGATCACTACAAGCTCAGCGAAACATTGAAAGGCTGGGCTCCGACTCCAGAAGGTTTCCCGAACACGCGGCTTGAAAGTAGTGTTTTCGTCACGGCTGCTAGCCCAAAACTTCCGAACAACTCTTTGCAAAATTGCGAGCCGGTCACGAAAGCTCGGGCCGTACACACCCCTGTGATTTATCTACAAAATGTGCATATTCCCACAGTAAGGCGGCGCGGTGAGTGGCCCTCAACAGTTGCCGCCCTAGCTGCGGGCTGCTGGCCACGATGAGGGCAATCAGCAGGCCGAAGCCAGCAAGCGAGAAAAGAACTACCTGCAAACCCCTAAACCCTAAACCGCAGGTGTTCTTGGCTTTCTAGTTTCTTGAGTACAGGAACTATCGAGTCTCTTCGGCCCTGGGCCACTTCGGGGGGTGTATGGGAACTGGGAAGTGACCTGCAAGCCCGATGGCAGCATCATGCCGAAAGAACCTGGGAACGTGAGTCTACTAAGCATGTTCGTATGTTCGAGTTTCGGAAGTACTTTGTCCACATAAAACCCCTCTTGCCTGCAAGACTCTTGCACTGCGCCGGCCAGGCGGCAGTACTTATGGCTCCCCAACCCGAATATGAAGGTGCGGAAATCTACAGCACAATCGAGAAATCCAGAAACTTCCTTGTGGCACACGAAAGCTCTCGGGGCGTCCTGACAAACGTGCCCTAGGCGGGGTCCCGACTCCACCATGGAGAAAGAGGAGGACCTGGGAATCGGGCTTTTTGAAGGAGCGGGCTTGGGGGGCCTCAGCGGAGTTCTCCTTCACATTTTCTGCAGGGCACGGCTTAAATGAACACCGGCGCTACGAAGGAGCGGTGCTGGATGGATCTGGGGACTGTGTGATATCCTCGTGCGCGGAGACCTGTTTATCGCAGCGCTTCTGCACGTTTTTTCGCGCCTGTCGCGAGCGCGAAATAAACACTTTGAAACACGATGCCGTCTGGATCCAAGTATGGAAACACTTGGTGCGCGAGCTCGGGCGTGTGCCGCGCGCATGTGGCTTCAGAGTTGACGCCACACCCCCTTGTGGGGTTCACACCCCACCGGCCAAGATCCTGGGTCCTGGATGGAGCCTTTTCGAAGCAGCATCTGGCGCCACTTCAAGCATTCGGCGCTTTTGACCGGTCCCGGTACCACCTATAACAGCAATAAAAGCAGAATCTTACTATACAGAAAAATACGAGTATCTAACTTGGTTTTTGGGGCACTGCTTGAGCGGCCTGGGAACTTGGCCCCTGCGCTAAACCCTTCACCAACCCTAAACCGTAAATCCCGAACACCCCCAAAATTCCATGAACCCGAAAGTTCTGCTTCTGTAACCCCGATCACATCCCAGAAAACCCACAAAAAAAAACTAAACTACGAGGCTTCGGGGGGGGCCTCCTCATCTCTCTGAGTCTCTTCAGACCCGGAGGCCGCCCCCAGCAGAAGCTGCCATTCTTCCAGCGCACAAGAAGATTCTTGCAAAAGGAGGGAACGTCGGTAGCTAGAATATGTTAGAATAGGGTTTCGAGGGGTCTGTTACGGTATGGGGGATATATGCTTTGGTAAGTAGAATGAGGATGTTTTGGGAAAGGCTGTTGTATATAGATCTTTAAAGACTGCATGGGGGATATTTGGCTCGCGGGAGCTCCCCTCGGAAGTAGAGGCTGTCATTTGTTATGTGAGAGGTCTTCTTTAGGATCCTAGAACTTCTATCTCATGGTCAGGGATAAACGAAATTACTGGAATAAGGACCCTTGCATAGACTTTGGTGGATGCTTTCCGGTTTGCAAACTATTTTCTGCTTGAGGTGGCTGGGCTTCGGCTTCACCTTTTCGAGTGTTGGCTCGAGGGCCGCGGGCTCACAGATTCTGGAGCAGTCGTGACGTTGGCCACAGCGGGTTTGCCGTAGCCAGTTTTTGGCTTGTTTTGCCAAAGGTTTTCAGCTCTGGGGGGCAAACTCCTGAAGCTGCTTCATGCTGTCTGAGCCAGAACAAAGGTGCAAGCATCGATTCGGAGAGAGTGCCCCAGGCCATGATCTAACAGAGTAGCCGAGCCTTGTTTTTCCCCGAGCCAAATTCGCTGGAGCAAAAACACATGAAGCAATTCGCAGCTTCGCCGAAAGTTTGCCTGTCGTTCGGATGCGATCACATTGACATGCTATCCCCAGCAAAGAGCAGTCTAAGCTAACACAGAGGCACCACGGCCACTTGCAAACTTTCCATGCTGCAACTTAAAACGTCGCAGGGGGTGCCCCTCGACACACACCGCGGCTCTTGCGTCGAGTGAAAGCACACGCAGCACGACGACATTCGACGTTCGAAAAGCAGTGCTGCCCGAACCGTAGCTGTTAGGACACTAAGACACGCAGCAACCGCTGCGGGACTCTGCAGGCTTAGCCTTGAACTGAAGCACAGAGCGTTCCACGGCGGCTGCCGCTTCAGCAGCCCCATCCTCCTTCTGCATTCTGAGGCCGGTCTCCATGCATTTCTTTGTGCAACCTAAGGCCCGCTCTATGGCCACTTGACACTCTTCCACGCTGGGCAGCGTGGGCTCGATCATGCTGCCTAAGGCCTTGCGCTCCAAGAACTCGCCGTGCCCGTACTGATCGGCCACCAGCGGGGAAATCACTGGGCCTGCCATCCCAGCAAAGCTACAAGCGATCACTGCTTGCGTGCCGGAGAACAACTTGACAACAACTAAATGATAACCAACAAAAGCTTTCTGGCTGTGAGAGCCACACACGACGACGGGCACGCCCGCCCAAAGGGAACGGAAGGTCGTTCCTGCGCCGCCGTGGCAGATCACCACACTGGCCAAAGGCAGCAGCCAGTCGAAAGGGGCATAGTCCTGGGACTGTGCAAGGATTGAAAGTTGAAGGCCGCAAGACAGTCTTTACGGGCGGAGTGTGGGTGCTGTCTGAAGCAATCAACATAGATATACATTGGTCGTTTCAGGCAAATCTATGATGTGATTACAACGTCTACCAAGAACGTAAAACACTCGCGGGAATTCTGAGTCGAGAGACGAGCTCAAAGACACCAGCTCCTGCTTCTTCGCCAGCAGAGGAGACAGTAAAAGTAAATTCGCTGTTGTCCTTCTTCTTCGGCGCTTTCGAGACGAAATTCACAACGTTCATGCCCATCTTCTGAAGAGCTTGTAGGGTACTGTCCTGTACCTTCTCGATGCCCATCGACATCATAGATCCTCGCTAAGGTCGAGACATCCACTTCAGTGCCATGTGGTCCAAGTGCAGCGATGATACTGACATGATGCCGCTATGTTCCCGTGGCTCTGTCGCTGTGAGGCACGGCTGCTCTTCGATAGTACTGTCTGACTCCATTCTCGTCTTGCTACCTCTGCCCTACGTTAGTCAGTTAATCCATGGCGCCCTCACTCCCGAAACTTGCTATATACTCCAGAAGTCCCTCTTGGATTCTTGCCTTGCATGATCTGAATCTGAATGCTTACAAAGGCCACGGAAACATGGAAACCGCCAAGAACCGCGAAGATCAAAGGCAGGTTTGGGGGGAATGCCACAGTACCCCAAGTGGAGCATAGCCGTGCTACTATCCCGAACAACTGTCATGTGCGCGGAGACCCTGGACGCATGGCCGAGCATCCGAAGGTGATCACAGCCGGCTTGCGGCCTTGGGCGTCCCTCCTCTGCATGAAAGCGTCAAGGGCTTCGGAAGGCTTCCAGTCCTCCAGGGGCAGCTGCTTTCGACCAACAGCCTTACGACTTAAATACGGCACACGGTAACCAAGCTCATCTCACGATGGTGGTTAATAACTGTTAATATGACATGAATATACATGAATTCTCCGAACAGCCAGATGCACTCACTCCCGCACGCTGCAGGCTCGCGAACGAGCACCTTTGTATGAGAACAGCAACAGGAGACCATTCAGCGGCATCGTTGCGCTGCCTCCAACTTCGGAGTGAAAATGCAACCCGTCACTGTGTGGCTTGCTGGAAAATCGCTCGGCGGAGGTTGCAGCTCTTTGCTCCAAAGTCCTCGGTGTGTCATGTACGGGATGCCTCTTTTGATTCGTGCCAAGGTCATGCGCATCCATGTGCATCAACAGGCGGTGTTGACGTACTGAACTCCATTATTCGGCTCTCATCTCTCATCTCAGGCTCCGGGGCTCTGGGATCAAGAGAACCAGGACCGCCGAAGGAGCATGGGCACAAAGACTGTCTTGCGAAGCAATTGGCCACACAACTAAGTCGGACCTAAGAGCACAAAAAAATCCTAGCAGTCTCTCGTGTCACGGATAGAAGAGTACGAAACCTTTACGCCTTAACGTCCCCTGCACCCCTCTAAACACTCCTCCGCGTCTCGATCCGGTTAGAAGAGGCGAAGAACCCTTTGCAAACCCGCCTTGATAACCATAAATACCTGATAAGCCCCAAAGACCGTCCCCCTTCTCCTCAGAAACCCCAGAAACCGGCCCCAAGCCATGTCTTTTTGACAGACAGCCGAGGGTCCGAGCTCCGGCACCTCTGCTATTTGCGAGAGCCTTGCTGGAATTTTGCTGGTTTTTTTTCCCACCCGCTTCGCTGACTAGGCCGCACTGCAGAGAAAACCCAGACTCCTGGTTTAGGGTTTAGGGTTTCGACTCTCACACTCGCACAAGCAGGCAAGGCTCCTCATGGTTTGGGGTTTATTTTTTTAGGGTTTAAGGCTCAAGGAGCTCGGGTCGTTTCTGGGCTCTGAGAATTCCAGAGGTTTCAGCACTCACACTTTGAGAAGCCTGGGCAATTCCCGGGCTTTGGGGTTGAGAGTAACAAAGGGGCTTCGAGAAGAGCTCCCGGGCTCAAGTGCTGCGTGGCTGGTTCCGGCTTCTTTTGTTGAGCTCCTTTCTCCGTCTGCACGACGGAGTAGCGTCCGAAAAGCCAAGGGCCAGGGGGGCTGATGGGTCTACAGCACCAGCGAAAAAAGAGGCCCCTCACTGCCCTCACTCTTTTTCCAACACCTTACAGTAAGATTCGAAAATCCAGGATCCTGCTACTGAGGGCTTCTGCTGGGGTTCCCTGCTGCAAGCCCTGGCAGTATCTTCTGAAGCTTCGAACTGGCCATTGGCGAATCTGAGCTTGCACCGACCTCCTCTCTCTAACTCCGAGATCGCCGTTTGGTGGTCCTGCAGTGCGGTCCAGATTCCCCTGTCCCCTCCCACCCCCCCTCCCCCGAGCACCGAAGCCAATGTTCGAGTCCAAGTGGCAAACCGATGCCATTATCATGGTTCACGCCCTCAATCTCCCGCACCCGCTCCTGCTCGCGCCTCACATTGCTTCGGGTGTCCCAGTAGGAAGTCTTCTTGTTGCTCTCGCTGCACTCACGAAAGGCTCGATTCTGCAAGCTCCCATAACGACAACTGATGCCAATGTAAGCATCGTTTATCTCCAGTTATAGCCATTGGATTGCTCGCAACTTCGTGCTGCAGCAGTGGTGGCAGCAGCGCAACTGAATAGCAATCAGCAGTAGCAGCACAGTAGCAGCAGCAGCCGTTGGCTGGAGTAGTATTTGGAGCTGCTTCATGGTGGTGAGTAGTGGTGGTAGTGGCGGTGGTGGCCGTCGATGGCCGTCGTCGAAAAAGCAGAAGCAGCAGCAGCTGCTGCTTTTTCAGTGCAGTACTAGCAGTTACTAGCAGGAGCAGGAGGAGCAGGAGCGGGAGCGGCAGTAGCATCGGCAGTTGCCGTAGTGGAATACTGTATGCTCATCGGCTGGAAACAGTTATCAACGGCTTGCATTGCTTGCAGCATCACTATTGTCAGTCTTGCCACATTTCTTGCTTCCGCTTCTGTCTTTTCAACCGATCTTGATCAAGCGGCTTCGCGTGAGATGCATTCAGGATGAAGGGCAAGAACCGAAAGAAGAGAAAGTGATAGTGCTTCAGCTTGTTGAAGACGCCTGAGGGATTATGCAAGCACAGTCTCGCAGGTCAAGCCGGGATTGATGAAACCTCAGCACGTGGCGTCCTGCAACTGCGTACTGCAATTGCGAAGCTCTTTGTGCTGCTCAGCTGCCATAGCAGTGG